AAAAAATATGGCGAGAGAGTCAAGGCAAAGCGTGATGAGAAAAACACGGAGAAGAATCCCTCCTGCTAAGCCTAAGCTTAAGTTATAAACTCTAATGAATTTTTCATCTAAACAATAATTAAACTCTCACTTAGGGTTTTGATAAGTTTAAGTGCTTTTTGGCTAAACTACAAAAGAGAGTTAAAAAAAATATTACATAGTTAATATTCATTTTATATTATTTGTAGTAAATGGTATTTAATTATTCTTTTATGTTTCAAGATGCCTGAAAACAACCCTCTTAAGTTTGTTTGTCTTAGAAATTAGCTACATCCGAACTACATCCTTTAATTTTCTTTATGGCTAATCCTGATCAACAGGAGCAGCATTATGTTTAATTGCTGTTCACCGTAAAGTTTGGCCCATAAACATTTTAACTAGGCCTATAAACTGTCTAATAGAGCACATCAAATCGCTTTGCATGATTTACGGCACATTCCTGCCCATTTTTTTCTTGCCATGTAGCATAAAAATGTAGTAAAACCGAGTAGAGACATGCTCCCGCACGGGGATATAAAGCGCTGCAGTAATTGGAGGCAGCACATGTCGAGCAGCAGAGGCAGCTCCCCATTGACGCTTAATCAATACCCAAATCATATCGCACAGGAACAACAATGAGTGCTTAGAGAGGGAGAGAGAGAGGGTGGGCGAGAGATAGATAGAGAGAGGAATGGAGCAATGCAATATAAATATTTGACGTGTGAGAACGTTTGGCTTTTATGGCTGCCCAAATGGAAGAAGCCGCTGGAGGGGCAGCTTGTGTGGCAACCATGGGCAAAGTGAGTTGTTTAGCAGGCGACATAACAATTGCAGATTTAGTGAAATTGCTTTTACCCCCAGCTTGCCACACCCACAACCTACGATAGACGCACAGGAATGTGTGCGTGTAAGTGTGTGCGTTGTTCATGTCATCGTGTTGTAATCAAATGGAACTCGACGCATAATGGCGCAAATTGCGCTTTTATGTAGGCTGTCGAATTGTGTACTCGACGCACTTTGTGCAGCGCATCTGTCAAATGGCTAAATACTCGCCCATGTTCGACCATCTGGAATTGGATACCGCCCACAAATTAGCGCCCAAGTGTTGGTCGACTCCCACATCTGGGCCCCAAATTGAAAATAAAATGCGGCACGTAGAGAGCATCGCATGCGGTTCATTGGTAATTCATTTATGCGCACATTTTCTTTGGCCGTCTGTCAGTAGCGTCTCCGTGCCGCTGCCAGCTGGTCTGCTGCAGGTGTTTCGCATAAGAAATGGCTGCCATCGATGGGGAGCGCCGCATTACACGTAATTTATACTTTTTGGCAGCCACTTTTGCCTCCAGTTGGGCACTGGCAGACCTGGCAGCCCAGGCAGTCACCACGCACGACTTGACGTCATGATAATGTATCGAATTCATTTTCCACTTGTTTTGCTTGCCAGCGGGCACCCACACGTTACCTGGATGTACAGCAGTTCAGGCCCCTGCTTGGGCGCCGCCTGGCCAGCTTGTCTGAGCATTATTTTTTTCTTGTTTTTTTCTCTTTGTTCACGTCTTTCCATGCCAACGTTTTGTTTGGCAAATATCAAAAACGCTTTCGACACATTCCACATTCATACTCAATTACCTACGTGGCAATGCTTCGCCTGGCTGCCGGAGCCGTGCCGCATGCCACCTGGCCACCTGGCCAGCCAGCCACTTGCCAGCGGCACTTCACAGTACTTTTTCATGTTGTGTATACTGAGCATTTATATTTGAAGGCGTATATGGCAGGCTTTCAAGAGAATTGATCTGGCTATGCATTAAATATTTATTACAGGGTATTTTGTAAGTCCATTCACAGTGTTGCCCTCATGCACTCGACGTGAATTGTGCAACTTTTGTTCTGTGCTCTCTGTTTGAGTTCGCCAGCCAACGTTCAATGACTTGGCCAGGCCAAAAAGTTTGTTGCAAATATTTGACCATCGACCGCGCGCAGGCAGGCGCAGCACTCCCAAGCCCCCCACCTCCCCCCCTATGCTTGGGAAGAGGGGTTGTTTGTTGGCTTGTTGCCGAGCGGGTTGGCACGTTTGGTTTACGCTATTCGCCGAATTTCATTCCAATGCATTTATTTATTTGACTTCTTTTTGGACTTTAGGTTGCCTGGACAAATAAAACAAGTTTTATACAAATATGTGCAATTTCTATGCTGCACAGGAGTGTGTGTGTGTGTGTGCATGTGTGTGTGTGTGTGTGTGTGTAGGTTTGTGTATGTGCGCGTACAGTTGACCAACTTGAAAATATTAATATTAAAATTGATTTTATTGAGCGTCGAACAAGTCGTAAATTCGACTTTGTATAATTTGCTGCACACGGCAAATCGCAATCGCATTCAACCAGTCGAACAATAATATATTCAGTCGCCCCTATCCAGAAGCGAATCATAAAAAATAATATTCAGTTTTGCCAGCTCACTAAATCAATCATAATCAGCATAGAAAATTTGCATAGAAATATTGAAAAACATTGCCAGCGAACGCTAATATACATTTCCATTGATTACGAAAAGAAGAGTATGTTGAATGGACAGAGTTAAGGTATATTAACTTGATGAAGCTAATAAAACGAAGGGAATTTGGGGAGAGTTTATGAGCACAACTCGTACATAGACTTGAAGATGATTACATATACTTGCCAGTTAAATAATTGAATAGCAGCTGTTTAACTGCTGTTAGGCAAATATAAACGAGATTTGCATAGGAATGTTTAATTATTTCTATTATTATTCATCTATAAACTGGCTTCAAACCCGAAAGTTTTGTTGAGAGACTTTAAGTAACAGCTAATTGAAAATATAAATATGATTAAAACAAAAGTTCCACCCTTTAAAATCACTTCCACTTTTTATGATTCTGCAGCTTACATTTTAAGCTGGAAATCATATTTTCTAGCTCCATGCAGTTCCCTGCTAAATATTATTTTTATAAAAAGAAGCTCAACTTAATAAGCTTAAAAAATTATCTTCTTATAATTGCAGGGCATTCAATTATCAATTAGTTTTTCTCGCGCTAGTTCCTTTTCCTACTTATTTTTCGCCCTTTTTTCATGCCACTAAACACACAAATTCACTCAACAAAATTGTCGGCAGCGTCCGCTGATTGATATATTAAGCGATTGATGGCTGGGGCTCCCACTGCGATTAGTTGCGTTAAAAGCGTTGGATGTGCTAATTAAATTGACATTCGCCAGCTGACCTGCTGGGAATCGACGCCTGCCCGCAGCCAGCTGGACATTGTCCGTAAATTGAGCCCATGGTCGCACACCTTTGCTTTTCTAAACGGGGTTTATTGTTTATTTTTGTTGCTTTTTGTTTTTTGTAAATATATTTGAAACTGAGTTGTAATTCAATCGGACTTAAAAACAACCGATGCAAACACAAACAAAAAATGTTGTCAACATCAAGCGGAAGCTGCCGGCGTTGTTGTCAATGTTTGTTTTTGTTGCGCTTTAATTATTTTTATGCCCACCTGGCGCGCCCTTAAGCGGAAATTGCATAGTGTCGCAGCAGTCGGCAGGCCCTTTTCATTTCATTTCATTTTATTTTATTTTAATTGAATTTTGAAATATGTGTTGGGCCATTTTTTTTTTGTATTTTCTCTGTTTTTATGTGCGCTGTAAATGCAATTAATTCGAGCATTTTTTAAATTGTTCCATTGAACCGTTCAAAGCTATTTGCTGCTGTAGTTGCAATAAATTTACCGCACGTTAAGCATAAATCAAATATATTAAGAATCAGCCTTGTGGTTGTTGCAGCTCTTGCTGTTGCCGTGGAAATTGTTAATTAAATAAGTTGTTGTCATTATGCTACAGATATCGGGCCAGGCCTTAATCATGTCCAAAGCTATACTTTTGAGACATTTTAATCGTGTTAGTCCTTTGCAATTTGCATTTGGCTAACTAAGACACAGTTATACGAACAAGGCCATTTGTTAATTTGTTGCAATCAACTGGGAGCACGTGGCGTATGCGCAATTTGCATGCATGTTTTATTGATATGGCCGCACGCCATTTAAGTGCTTTTAAACTTGACTGTCACGAAACATTGTTTATTTTTAACACATTCAAATAAAACCCCAGGCCAAATATGCACATGCTCAATTTCATTGCATCTATGTTTGTTAGCAAATAAAACGTTTTATCATAATTGCCAGGCAAGATATCTCAGATAGAGTCTTTATTGCCTTAGTGCTGTGGGCAAGTGTAAATAATATATTTTTATTTTTCAATTTCTTATCGGTATTCCAGAGTATTCAAAGGATCTACAAAATATGCCCTTTGTCTTACATCCCCCCTTTGTTTTGAGTTAGCATTAAATATTTACTGACTTTCTTTATTCTTCAGCTTGTAGCTTCAATTCGACTAGCTGCTGTAGCAGCTCGAGCAGTTATACAAAAGTTTGCTGCTCGCCTCGCTTCGTCTTACATGTTCTATTTTTCGACTGCAACTTTATCAGATTTGCTTCATTTTGCATGCATGTAATTTGCCATTCGTCTGCATTTGTATCTTGCAGATATTTATATGAATTCGCTTATTTTAACTTACTCAGCATTTTGTATGATGTGCATTCATCCAGTTTGTGCCTTGCAGTTTGCCAACGAGCGCTGGCCGCATGGCGTATACGCAATATTATTTTATTTAATGGAATATGGCATGACCAACAGCTTTTGCGGTAACTTTGGCCCCAAAACTACATCAAAAGTTTTGTGCAAACTAATTGTTAATTGAAACAAAATCCCGTTCATTTGTTGGCGCTGCAGTTGCCAGCTATTCACCGCCCGGCAGCAGCTAGGGGGCCTGCAAAGCATTTGCCGTCAAACAAATGCCAACAATTAACTGTGGCAACAATAAAAGCGAAACTTAACTTAACTAAAGTCTTTGGCCAGCGCTGGCATAAATATGAATACAGTGGAACAAAAGTTGGGCCATACTATGGGCACTTACCGCTCAGGACAATCACAGCGAGTAGCAGCAGCCAGGCCACGCAGATGCTCTGGGCCATATGGAGTGGCATGGCGATGTTGGCGACAGCGGCGGCAGGAACAACAACCGGAAATGCAGTAAGCCTGGTCCTGGCCCGGACCGGAACCTGGGGGCCGCGGCGGTCGGCTGGGCGTAACGGGGAACGCTTTTGTTTTAGCTCTGTCTGTCCGGCTGTCTGACTGTCTGGCTGCTTGCCTGACAGTTTCTATGCTGGCAGCAATAACCAAGTTAGCAGCGTCATCATCAACATCAGAAGCAGCTGCTGCTGCAGCAACGTCATTATCGGTGTCTGCCGGCGCTCTCTCTAATGCTCTTTATTAACTTGGCCAATTGCCAGACGGGCACAAAAGGCAACTCTGTTTTGGCTCCGGGCAGAGTCGTGCGCTGTTTGCCTTTTCTATTGCCCAGCTTCTGTTTTACGCGCGACGCTTGCCTGAAAATATACAGAGAGAGAGGGGGGTCGGGAGAGAGGGTGTAGGAGCAGCAGTTAAGTTCTGTTTAGTGGACTGACATGAAAGTTATTGCTGTGACAAAAATGCTTGAAATGTAGGTGAACAGCAGCTGGCAACGGAGCAACAGAGGCAGCTGCCTCAAAGTCAAATGCACTCATTGGCACGCCTCCGCCACGCTTCCTGCAAAGTGAAAAACCGAAAAACGAAAAGTCCAAAACGGAAATGAGAGCAAAACGATAATGGCGCACGCCGCCTGCATAATGATACAGCCAATGGCCGGTGGTTCCATTGTGGCAGCATTTGGCTTTTATTTTTCTATTACACGATTTTTAGCTCGGCCCGGCACCACCATCCACGCCTCCCTTCCTGCCACAGCAGCAGCAGCTTTGCAATTTAATTTGCCAAAATAGTAACTTATTTTCACTTATCTCGCTTAAAAGCTGCCCTTCGTTCCCTCATGCTAGCCTGTTAAAAGTTTGAAACGTAATTAAGGTAATTGTTAGCTCCCGTTTGCCCCCCTGCTATTTGCACACTGATTATGCACCATAATCATTTTGAATGTGCAGCGGCGCTGGATGATCGATTCGCCGGCATTTATGTCAAAATAATGAGAGTCGGGCATATTTATTACGCATACGCCATTTGATTCTCCTGCCCCTTCGCCCCACAATACGCAACATGTGAACATTTTCAAATTTTGCTTCTCTTTTTTTTTGGATTTATCTAGTACATTTTTCCGGCACTGGCTGCCATTATTTGCCATTTGGCTCGGCAATGGGCATAATTCTAATGCATGGATATTATGTGCTGTCGTCTGTTCATGCAAATTACACCAACTCCCCTCACTGCGTAGCCCCTGCAACCGCCCAGCTAGTCACTGTGCACTGTACTTATTGTTAGGAAACGGAAACGGCGCAGCAAAGCCCAAAAAACGGAATTTTATTATTGTTAGCAATTGGTTTATGTGTGTGTATCTCCCTATTTGTGTGGGTGTGTGTGTGTGGGTGTATGTGTGTGTGGGTGTATGTGTGTATGAGTGTATGCACGGCCTCTGCATGTGTGTATGGGCCAGACTTCAGACTTCGAAAAGCAATTTGCCACGCACTGTCAGTGAAGTTGAACGCGGTGGAACATTTCTAATTTTCAGCTACGAAAAATTTATACAATAAAAAAAGGCATAGCCCAAGGCAAAGTAGAAAAAAAATATATATAATAATAAAAGAGGGCAAAATCAGCCATACAGAAATTTACATAAAATTCAACTCGTATGCATGTAATCTGAAGCAGACACAGATTTGCTTTCATTTCGCCCGTTTTTTCTTTTTTTCTCATTCCCAGAGCAATGCTCCAAAAATACTTTTACGCTGCAAATCAATAAATTGCTTTTATTTTCGTGCGAATTATTTTTTAAGCTAGTCTCGTAAATAGTTGAGAACGCCTTTCAATTTAATTTGTTAAATAAATTTGTTAGGTTTTAGCAGCCGTTGTCATAAAGTTGCATATATTCAATTAATTTTTAATTGACAAATGATATCCCAAATGGGCTTAAGCCTCATTAAGCACAATTCATAAAATTATCATGCTTTTAATATTTTAATAAAAGTAAATAAACAAGTCTATGCAATAAAGCACACAGCTCAAATTAACGGATTAACGCCATATTTACAGCCGGCGAGCGTAAAAAGCTGTTGATAGGCAGCCCAAAAGAGCGTTGCGTATACTTAATCTGTCGAGAGTTCAAAGTGCATTTGGCGTGCCTCTTAACCATTTTGTTGTCTGGCATTTTTGCTTCTTTTATAATTATTCAAAAGCAGGCAACAGCAACAATAACAGCAACAACATAAGCAACAAAATTTATATAACATTATAAAGCAATTTGCAGTAAATCACCAAAGTGCGGCGCGCGCGTGTTTATAAATCACAAGCAGCTCTGTTCGTCGGCAACCCGTGCGGATTCCCAGCACCAAAGAGGCAACGCCCAGCCCAAAACCCGAACGCCCACAGCCCAGTGCTCAATTCTGGGCAACTCTACGCCCGCAAAGGGAACCGGCTGTTGGCAAACCAAAAATCGAAATGAATAATTAATATGTCGCGCCTGCGGACAGACCGGGACAGACTTAGACGCGGCTCCACATGCTTCGCCATCAGAAGGCAGCATCGAAAATGAAAACCAGCAAGAAGAAAAAAAATGTTACTGGTTTGCAGTAATGTAAACAAAACAGCGCCAAAATCCAAAGAGCGAAAAACAAAAGCGCCGCCAAAGCTCATGTGAGGCCCGATGGCGACGAAGCCCAAGCCCAAGCCCAAGTATCCACTTCGCAGCCTGTCGCTGGCTGCCGGCAAAAAAAGGCTCGACGAGATTGACAAATTTGCCACGGCGACAGCAAATGAGAACCGGCGACGATGGCGGCTGCTGAATGAATTTTTCATTTATGACAATGTTTACGTAATTTGACAGTCAAAACAATTTTCGTACTCTATTTTCTGTTCCATGCGCTGATCTTCCGCATGGGCGTACGCAAATGGACTCTCATTTATTTTGCCAGGCAACCGCACCACCCGCTGGTTCTATGCCACAGCAGCAGCAGAAGGAGATATGGCAGAGAGTTTTGGCCTTGCCAATCAGCCAAAGCAACTTTGTTGTCCTTTCTAATCAAATGTGTGAGCGTGGTCTGTGAGTGTGTGATTGTGTGCGTGTGTGTGTGCTGTGTGCATGTGTGTGCAGTCGTGCGCTGCCTTTAAGCCGTTTTAAATGGCCAACGATTTGCCTGAATGTTGTGACATAAAAGTGCAATCTATAGTCCATTTAGTGGGCACAGGATTAGCAGACTTAGCAAGTACGAGTAAGTAGCCACAGCTAGTTGCAACAAGCCGTCCTTTGTGGCCAATTTAAATTGCTTTGCCACCTAAAAAAGAAACCTACTGAATGGCAGCTTAAGAGCCTGGCAAGGTGAGGCAACTGCTGAATGAAAAGAGTGTCTCGTGTGGAATTGGTACTTTAAAAACACAAGGATTTCGCATTCATTTCAATTTGCTCAACATTTGAAGAGCTCAACTCAGATCAAGTTGCAGACGGGGGCAAATTCGTAGTAAATGTTCTTTCTGGACTACAAGCTGCTAAAAACATTAAACGCATTCGATTTATTTACTGGCTGTTTTCTAGATTGATTCTGCATTTAAATGTCATGCATTTTTATAAAAGTCAATTTTTGGAATCTGAACTTTTTATTCAAAAATGTGATATTATCTTTTTAGTAGATATTCGGACTTTTTTTGGAATTATTTCAAAGTTGTATCAATTTTTTGGGCAATACTATTTTGTTCAAGGACTTAACTTTCAATTTTAATTTATTTTAAAATTAACATTTTTCTGAAGGAAACGTAAAGTTTCTGGTATTTTATTTTCATACATTCTTAACTATTTCTTCGACAGTTCTCAGGATCATAAATTAAGCTTAATTGACATACATATTCAAATTTAACGAACCATTCTGCAAATCAATTCGCTTAACCCACTCAACCCGCAGTTTTTCTGTTACAGATTTTGATCCCACATAACTTTTGGCATCCTTTGTCAAAGTTTATGTTAATTTGACCAAATTGGGCGCAGCTCGTAATTGAAACCCAGCGAGAGCAATAATCATGACGATGATCCGGCTGACCTTGACATCGAGTCATTAGTCAAACCAAATGTCAAACAAAGAATAGAAAGATGCGGAAAACGGGTCGGAGAGGGGGGGGAGTGTGGAATAAAGTCTGATGGGGAAAATTATTGTTTTGCTCAATTTGGAGGCGCTTTGTTTGGAGCCCAGTCGCTTCACGGCATATTAAACCACATGAATAAATTACAATTGCAAATAGGCAATTTCCTACACTTCCTTCCCATAGACATTTCCACACTGTGCAGCAACCGCAAATGGGGCGTGGCCAGTAGGTCGGTCGGTCGGTCGGTTGGGCGGTTGGTTGGTCGATTTCTTGTTGTCAACTGTGGAGTCAGTTTGTTGGTCTAAATAACGTCTAATTTGCAATTTTGTTTAATTGTTTGTGGCTTTGGATTCTGACATAATTCGATGCTTGTTGTTTGCTGTTGTTGTTGTGATCTTTGCCACGCCCACTGCGCCTCACTAGTTGTTGTTGTTATCGTTGTTGCTGTTTGTGTTTTGCGTTATTTGCGGTTTTAGTTTGGGTCAACATCAATGAACGTTGGCACGCACGCACACACACATATACCCACACACACACGCACATTGGGGGTCTCTTTGGGTTAGTGGTTTCCGCTCCGGCGGCGTCATCTCTTGCCCCCCGCTGGCCAGCCGCGTGCCTTGCCTAAATTATAATAAAAGGTTTCATTGCGGCCAGTCCAAAATATGCGCGGAGCTTTGCTTTGCCCTTGCTTTGAGCAATTAAACGAATGCCAGCGCGTAGACAAAGGCTGTCCAACAATCCAACCCCTTCCACACTACAAAAACACAGAGCCCCCAATCAATTGGTATTTGGGGCGGGCAGGCGGGAATGTCTGCAAAACTTCCCAATAGTTGCGAGAGTATTAACAAACTGAACTCTTTGCAGTGCGCTGCAAAGTATGCTACGACTTTTGGCCAGCACTGAAAGCCACTCAAGCGCAACTTGAATGGCCATTGTCAATGTACTTTGTCCTCCGCCCGCAGCCCGTTCAGTCGCTTCGGGCACTTCACAAATTAGCTGTACGATTGCCTTGCACTTAGTACACTTCGTTTTCTCGCTGTGTATACTTTTCAAAATTGGCTTTCACACGCCATTAGCATTTAATTGCAACTGCTGATGCCGCTGCTGCTGGTGCTGCTGTTGCAGCCTGCCTTGCCTGGACTGCCTGCCGTGCCCCTGTTGGCCATGTTAACACAAGCGCATTTGCCTAAAACTGCGTACACAGCATGACTTTAACACAGCAGCGACTGTCGTGCAGGGAAAGGGTGGCTCAGTCATTTGAGAAATCAAATATTAT